CCTGGCTTTCTCCCCACCCTGTCTCTTTATCCGATCCAATGTTGCACCATAAGCATCCCCCAGCCCCAAGCCATCGGTCATTGAGTTGAGCCTTTTTCGCCTGCGATGGATTGTGGTTTCCTGCAATATCGCATCGATATTCAGCGATACTAGCAGGAATCTAGATGTGTATCTGTCAGCGGGTGACTTGAGGTAGCTTTCCCAGTGTCATTGCTTCTACCTACATATCAGAAATATCATCAGGAATTTTCTTCAGGATGTCTGCCTCCAGGCTACTATCCATCGCATCCTGGGTTGTGTCTTCGTGCAGCCTGGTATGAAGATATCTAACAATATCACCCCTCTTGGGACTGATGGACACACTCACTACTCTTCCAAGACATCTCCCGATCTCAGGCTGAACGTGCGGCCTTCCAGTCACGAATATCCGAGCACCTGGAGACTTCTGGATTACCTGATTTAGAGAATCTAGAATCTTGACTCGATACCCTGGCGCACACTCATCTAGAGCGTCGACGCATATGAATGTGCGCTTTATGGAAGAGGTACTTTGCATCATCTTCACAATATCCAAAAGCTGCGGTCCCCGCCCACCAATGGCATTCTTTTGGTCTTGGTATACTCGCCATATTTCCTCCGGGGTCTCCTCCAGTCCACAGACTAGTTGCTTTAGCAGGGCGCCAAGCACGCTTGTAAGTGACTGCTCCTTTTGGGCGGCGAAGTCGAAATAAAAACATGCAACGGTCGCATTTTGTCCCCTAGCCCGATCACACAAGGTGTCTACCACCAGCGAGCTAACATCACGACTTGTCAGCCTTGCCCTTTTTCTTCTACCCCTTGAGGTTCGTCCTTGTTACCAAATATACGTCTTGCCAACTCCTGGGTCTCCATAGCAGAACAAAACTGCGTTGTCGGATTCACCTCCCTCGCCATCAGCATACCAGCTCCTAAATTCCTCAGTTTTTAAGAGCCATTCCCCCACACTTTCGACTCGCCGGCCTTGGATATCCTGGTGCCGTAACCTGGGATCTAGCGGCGATAACCAGGTCCTGATTTGAGAACGGTCATCGGCAACAGTGCAGTTGTTCCACACGTTAACGGCCGTGTTCACAGAGTTGATGTTATTACTGAATAACTGGGACATTTTCAGTTTTTTGCTGCTGCTTAGGATATCGTACTCGAGTACCGGTATGATAGGTGATGGATGATGGATTCAGCCGACTGGAGCGCTAGAATTCCTGGGGGCTGAAAAAAAAGCGGGGTATTTTGTGGAACCTCATGGATGCCTAAGGGCCGCCCGATCAATCTCTCCAAATCTGCGCCAACAAATCCCTGCCTGCGCCTGCCACACCGGCAGCAAGAATTGCCACTCCTCTCTAAGTGCCATTCCATAGAACGGCACAAATCTTGCACTGCGGTGACCAGACACTCTAGACCACAATCTATGAAATCAGCTAGCTCTACTGTATATATACCAGTACAGCAGTGCGCCAAACCCTATGAATGAATCAAGTGAAAAACTTATCATATCATACATATCACTTAACTTAAGGCATCACAGTAGGGTTCTTGGTGATTTTGGTACAGGTCAGAAAACTCCTCCTGAAACCTCACACAAGGTTCTCTGAAGATAGGGGACGTGGTTTTCGATATTCGTCGAGACCAGCGAGTACTTGTACAGCGCAGCACAGTACCAGCCGCGACAGATCGGGGCATCCGCAAGAATCTACCCCATATATTTCCAATGACCGAGGAGTAAGTTCGTCAGAAGTAAGTACCATTCAGTTGCTAACCTAAGCAGTAATTCAAATAGCCATTGAATACGCCCATGAACAGCGTTCTATCAGAACCTATGGTAATTCAGGGCCCAAGATTTACCACTAAACAAACCAAACGAGACAGTGGAGTGAACCTCTGGTGAGCAACTTTGAAAGAAATTATCATCTCGACGTCACTTATATACTGTACCTCAAAACACAAACAAAACTATGATTAGTACAGTACAGTAAATGCAAAAAAAGGCCCATATCTGTCCATAGGCACTGCTAAACTTGACTGCTAGGTCCCCAAGTAGGTATCCCTGCTATCACCACACTTGTTTTATACTAACGTCACAGCACGTCACTCGTCTATGTTTAGGGCCCAAAGGGTAAGTTTACATGGCGCGCGATACGCAATATGATACAGTATTACTAGGATAGAGATCCGGGGCCATTGCACGACGTTCAAGTACTGCTATGGCCACTTCGTTTGGGTTTATGGAGTGTTCGTTGGGTCTGGGATTTCCTTATATACATGTTTGTCCGGTCTGCCACTACTTTTGATCGGCTAATCATTTGCATGTCATTTCACCAAGCTTCAGCAACTGAGTATTTTACTATTCATTGTCTTTAGCGAGCGTCTACTACTCTTTCTTTGGGATGGAATTGTGTACCTCAGTACCTTAACTCTCCGATTAAACCGAAGCTTCCCCCGGTTCCCCTCTCTCAACCGCGCGAATTTCATCTTTAGTGCATCCCATAAAGGCCCAGAAAGCTCTATTCACATTGGGGGCGGGCCCTGTCGCAGTACCTGTCCCTTGCAGATACTCAGCGTTGTACCCGGAATCCTCGAACGCATTGATGAACTCCGTAAAAAGAGCATAGAACTTTTTACTGCCAACTTGGGTTGTGCTTGCTTTGACCCCAGCATGAATGCTTAGCAAAGTAAGGGTTTCTTCGTGGGCTGTACACATGTTAGCACTTATATGTAATCAAGTAAAGTTCCTAGGCAAAAATGTTCGTGAATTTGCTTGGTCAGATATCCCATTTTCGTGAACACCTTTGCTTAGAAACTGTAATTTTAAAAAGAACTTGAAAGGATTACTTACTGATTGACCAAATGACATGTGGGACGTAGCCATATAATTGTTTGAAAATGACAACGTCGGTTCTCCCACCTCCATTCCGATACAACTCCGCGTCCATTGCTGCATCTCCACCGTATGCTGCGGGGCTTCCCTGGGTGATTTTCTGCTTTTGGTGGGGGGTGATTTCCGGATTGCACTTGTCACGATAGTATGAGTCGATGAACCGGTTACGGATTTCTCGATAGGAGCATAACGACAATGAAAGATTGTGCATCTTTTTTTCAAGTGATGAAATTCTAGCACCCTGAACGGCGTTAAGAGCGACCAGCTCGGCGTTAAGAGCGTCCTGCTGGACGAACTTTTGTTTCATGACCTGTATCTCCCGGGGGAGAGCAGCAAGAGAGAGGCTGCGTTGGTTTCCAACCACTGGGTTTGAATTGTGTTCGACTGATATTTCATCGCCTTCCAACACAACATTAATCGCTTTTTTCGCGTTGGAAATCATGACAGCATCTTCGGCTATTTCTGTGGTTGTGACAATGACGGCTTTGCATTCGTCACCGTTGTCGTCCCACATACTGATGGGCGTTGGCGGTGCTTCCTGCTCTCCGCTTGGCCCACCCACATGCCTTCTCATGTAGTCCTGAAGACTCTCTATCATCACTCCCTTCATGCCCGTCAGTATCCCCCTTTCAACACACAACAATTTGAGTTCTGCAGCTTTCAGCTGATCAAGACTCATCTCTTCCAACGGCATACCGGCAGGTGCTCTTTTCGGCGGCATAGTGGTGTTTTTTCTTTCCTGTGGTGGTGGGTTGCTTTGATCGGAGGGTTTAGTGAGGGAGGTGGAGGTTTGCGAGTCGGAGGGTTGGGCCTGGTTTATACACGTTGCCACAAGCTAGGTCTTGGCGCGTTGCCCCTACCTGCTACCAAGATCACCAAGATAGAAGTCCACCGCTCCCCAACGTTCACCTGGTGTACTCGAGTACTACCAACCACATCATACAAGTATCACTAGCCACCCCTCTACCACACGGTAGAGTGTATTATTATCGTTGGATCTGGGCATTTTAGGTGTAGCATGTGGGCGTTAGAAAGGAAGTTAGGGAAGATTCTAAGATATTCTTAAATAGGTTAGGAAAATTTATTAAAAATCTTAAAAATAGGTTAACGTAGTGGTTGTGATGTTAAACACAGCTGAGGTGGATAAGATCACTGTTTATCAGATGATTAGATCCTTCATTTTGATTATCTGAGATATCACTCCTCGGCGCAACTGCTCAGCACATATATGATGATGATGATAACTTGCCATAAGCTTACTAGATGCTGCTAGTCTGGCTGGCATATGAAAAAACACTTTAGACCTCAATGGAGCCGTAAGAGGGGGAGAGTGTGTTTACACCCAGAATTCATGGTAGGCGGAGAAAACCCAATCCAAGTTTCTAAATACAGTATTAACCCACGGAATTGCGGACGAGAACATCGTGGATCCAACTTGGCCCCCCTCAGAAACGTCTCCCTATGCGTAACGCTCCCCACGTGCTACCAGAGCCCCATCTTTGGGTCATTTGTTCAACCATCCTTTGATCTGCGGGCTTGCCATCCGAAATCCGCTTTTTGTAAGGAGACTTAAGCTATCAGCACTTTTTGCGACACGAACTCCCATGGCAAAAGACACCATTACCCGGCATCAAATCCCATACTCTTGCCCCAGGTTGTGGCGGCCAGCCACAACCGTGGCACGAGTAGTGCGAGATAATTTTTCCGGTATCGTGCCTTACAGCCGAACACTCGAGCACCATAACTATTTCTTTCCAGCATTCACGGCCGGGGATACCAGGACGTGAGAGAGCCAGTGCTAAATTCCGTTGGGCTGATTTCTATGAAAAAACAAAGCCAGCTCTCGCACTCCCCTAAACTTATCTTCTAATCTGGGCTATTCCCCTACAACTATCCAAGGCTCGACGTCTAACTGCGTCCCGGGGCTATCGTAGTTACAAACCCTAACTAGTTTAAAGGTTACCATGCCAAGCCAGATGCGGCTCTCCGGGGCGGGCCGGAATAAATGTTGGGGTAACGCCGGCGATAACCGAACCCTAGACATTCGGTTCACGCCTTCCCGGGTCCTCCACTTGCATCTAACAATTCCGAAATCTAGCCCATTTGTTCATAACTTCACCGCATGATACTCTCTTACTCTCCGCCTCCCTCCCTCCTCTCTGCAATCCAACAAAGCCCTTTGGAGACAAACATACAACTGTGATGGTATTACTGGCCTCTTCAAGAGCATCAGCATGGGCAAGGGTTTCCAGGATTCGATTACCACCTCCTCCGAACACCGCCAGACATTTTGCATCCTCGGTAATCGCTCGACAAAATGCCCCGATGAAGCAGCCCCCGCATTCAAATAGGTTTGTTCATACCCGTTATTCCGAGGGAGAGCTGGGGGAAATGATGGGTTAATGTTGGGGTAGTGTACTGTTCCCTGGAGCGGTGAATTCAAAGTTCACCAATGAACTCAAGTTCCAAAGGCCACAGGACCTCCCGGCTATCCCGACTTATAGGTTGATTGATACTCATGGACAGGTTGTGGATAAATCGAGGGAGCCGGACGTTGGTCAGGAGTTGGCGTTAAAGATGTATAAGGATATGGTTACCAGTAGGCTCCCTCTAGTTTCGGTAGGATGGATTGGGTTGGGTTAGGGAGCAGGTGTTAACTGTGGTGGGGGGTGTAGCTAGCATTATGGATTTGCTTATGTTAGTTTCGGATTTGAGATTACGGGCGTCGGGCGTACCGTACCGGAGTGCTGACGAGAATGGTTAGGTACGAATCCCAACGCCAGGGGCGGATAAGTTTTTACATGGTATGGAAATCTACCTCTTTCACTCGAGCAGAGTGGGAAATGCTAAGGTGTGTCGGTAGGTCTCTGCCGGCGAAGAAGGAATCGCTGTTGGATCTGCCGCGGCTTTAGCTCCCGACGATGTCATATTCTCCCAATACAGAGAGCAAGGAGTGATGATGTACCGTGGGTTTACGCTCGACGAGGTAGATTCCTTGACTTAAAAGAGTTCAATTTGAGGCACTTTTAGTTCTAATTGGTCATAGTTCATGAACCAACTATTCGCAAACAAATTTGACTACGGAAAGGGCAGGAACATGCCCATTCACTACATGAGTGAGAGATTGCACATGGTATAACCTCCCTATACTATTAAATCGTTCTAGTTATCAACGTTACTACTACAGCACCCAATCTCCTCTCCTCTCGCTACCCAGATTCCTCACTCTGTAGGTGCAGCGTATGCCCTAAAGCTCGACCAATCTTCTCGCATCGTCGTTTGCTTCTTCGGGGAGGGTGCCGCTTCAGAAGGTGACTTCCATGCAGCGTTGAACATTGCCGCCACACGCTCCTGCCCGGTAGTATTTATCTGCCGGAACAATGGATTTGCAATCAGTACCCCAACTCTCGAACAGTACAAGGGTGACGGCATTGCTAGTAGGGGCGTTGGGTACGGGATTGACACTGCCCGAGTGGATGGAAACGATGTGAGTGTAATCTTTGGGGGGTGGGGGTTTGCTACCTAAATAGACGGGCTAACGAGAAGGTGCGGTAGATCATGGCAGTCCGAGAAGTCACAATGAGAGCCAGGGATATAGCCCTCAAGGAACAGAAGCCAGTACTTATCGAGGCCATGTCTTATCGTGTTTCGCACCATTCCACTAGTGATGATTCGTTCGCGTATAGAGCTAAGATTGAAGTTGAAGGTATCTCTTTCTTGACCCCTAACCCACAATTCGAACCCCGCTGATCCAATATAAACAGACTGGAAACGCCGTGACAACCCCATCACTAGGTATTCCGTTATTCCTCCTCTTCTCTTCCATTATTCAGGCTGACAAACCCTCCATAGAATGCGCAAATGGCTGGAATCCAAATCCTGGTGGTCCAGCGAGCAAGACCAAGAACTCCGCACCCAAGTCCGCAAGGACATCCTAAAAGCCTTCGCCCGTGCCGAAAAGGAGAAGAAGCCAGCGCTCGAGAACCTCTTCCTGGACGTCTTCAAGATCCCCAGCCGTGATCTAGAGGAGCAGATGACGGAGCTCAGGAGGGTTATCGAGGAGTATCCGGATGAGTATGATCTTGAAGCGTTTGATCGGGGGAAGGAGGGTCTGTAGGAGGTTTCGATAGGCAGAAGCTTGATTTTTATATACCATTATCTCCTTCTTTGGTTGGGCTGTGACCTTTTCCTTTTCTTTTTCTCTTGCACGGAAGTCTTTTTTTCCCTCCTTTTCCTCCTTTTTCATGTTTTTTTCATGTTTCGCACCTGTTTGGCATTGGGCGGGGTGTTTTTGGTTTCGTAACGTGCAATACAGTTATTTACGCAAATACATTCGATTCCGTGAATGTGTGCTGCAGGTCGTCTAGTCCCCCGGGCGAGATCAAAACCCATCCCCCCGTGGTGGAGCAGAATATGTCAGGCAGGGTGGGGTTAGAGCAAGTCCACGACCCCGGTTTTCATACAAGACATCATTGCCTTTTGGCAGGCCTTCCATATTATACCACTTGCATCCGTCCATCCTATCCATCGAACAAATTTCAATTGTAGAAGTATTGTCATAGGTTACCGGCCGTCCATGTTTACCGTTTTTCCCGGCCGGACCCATTCAAATCGAATCATAAATCCTAAAGAAAAAGGAAAAGAGAAAAAAAAAGACGAATAATCCATCATTACCACCCCACCCCCAACCCCATCCAATTATACGCGATAACCCAAAGCCAACAAGCCAACAAGCAGAAGAAAGGAGGAAATGGACTACATAACCATTCATTCAGGACTTCTTAATATCCCCCGCTACAACAATCGGCACCCCAGAAACCCCATTCCTAGCCGGGGCAGGGCCAGCACCATTACCCCCCACATTCGTAACACCCAATTCCTGTATGCCGGTGCGTGAGTAACTCGGCGGCGTCGCGGCGCCGGACGCTGGTCCAGAAGTAGTCGGCGAAATGGGGCTCTGTAACGGCGACTCATTCGTGGCGAGGCCCGCGCAGGTGGAGATTATTTGGTGCCATTTTGCGGCCTGTTGTGGGGTTTTTCTTTTGTCAGTTTCCGGTTCAATCATGGGGTGCGGTGGTGGAGGGGGGTACATCTTCGTGAGTAGCTGCCTTGAAGGCATAATCGTGTTTGGACGATAGAGCCTTCATGGTGCTCCCCGCATCTTTTCCGGAAATGATAAACTTCGCGTTTGGAGGTTTGGATAGTGCGCCGATGGTACAGTCCGGGAGGTAGAGGCTTATTTCTGGGCTGGGGTCTTTGGAGTAGTTCTATTTCTCGTTAATTTAGACATTGTTAGAGTATTGTGGGTGGAATGGAGAGGGGGACGAGCATCGTTGTCCTTAAATTCATGTAGATACTTGCACGGGGTGACGACGTAGTAAGCCGCGCTATAACTCCTCATGACTTTCCCCTTTCTGTTCAGCGTGCCCTCGATCAAAGCCTTTGTACTCTGATGACCCTGATTGGGGAACTGGATCGACTCGATCGACCGCGCCGGCGAGGATGGATCAATGAGTACGTCGGCGTATCTAGTCGTGAACCCACCCCACTCGAAATCCAGTGGGAGTCTTTGACCGGCAGCTATTCAAACAAACGCCCCAATCAGCCCAGCTCACAACTCATCCAAAGATTTTTTTTCAATTTTTTTCAAATACCAATAATATCCCCATACAGTGCCTTCTGTCTATCAGCCTGGGCCCCAACATGCTCATAAAACGACCCAAGCGCTTGCTGTATCGTCTGAACAATATGCCCCTCAAACTGTTGCATCTGATTCTGCACACCCAGTAGATCCTGTCGATGATTGTTCTCTTCAATAACCTGCTTGTGCAGTCTGTGCAGCACGCCCCTCCGCAAGATGTACGGGTCGACATCCGGCTTCAACTTGCCTCCATTCCCATGGGAGTGCGTTCCGGGGATATTTATGTGCGCAAGTCCACCCGCCGCCGTGCTCTGCCCAGATCCCATGGAATCAAAGCCCGAAGCATGCTGGCCCAGCAATTCTATGTGATTCTGCGTGTAGTTGCGGGCCTTCGCGACGCTCTTGGAGCTCTTCTCCGAGGCGCTATGGATGTGCTTTGCGCGATCCTTAATCTCCGTGTGAAGACGTCCGAGGATGGGTAGGACGTGGGTTTTCAATGCCCGCTCAGTTTCATGGTGGGATTGCGTGATGCCTTGGGTGTTTGTGCGGACGTTTTCGAAGAATGAGGCAACGCCGCCGATGTCTTGGGCTGTTCATCGTCATCGCCATCAGTCCCCCGCACCATTTGAAGAAGAAAGTGGGCTCACCAAAGTGATGTCCCTCCTTCAACGGTTCGGATACAGTCTACAATTTCAAACAATTGATTCAGTACAAGCAGAAACCTCAAGCGGGGGGCAACCCAAACACACCTTCAAAACCTTCTCATACTCCTTCGCCATCACTTTGTGCGCAGCTTCCGTATGCGAGACATAAGCTTCGATGTACCCAACCGCATGCTTCCAAGCTCTCAACCGCTCAACCAATAGTCCCGCTACGTCCCCTCTTTCAGTAGGAATCGCTTCTTCTGATGCCATTGAGTCGATGGTGTTGGCGTGACGAAGCGCGGGGTGTCCGTCCTCTTGCGGAGATACCGTAGCCATGGCGGGTTCTGCACTGTAATTTACTAGACAAATGAGACAAGTGGGGGGTGCTGGAGGCAAACTTAGGTAAGCAGAGAAACCCCAGAAGAGTGAAAGGGTTATTATTACCTATCGTATCTCCAACTAAGCCTGGAGAATCGGGGAACGTTATGATATCTTTCGCTGTTTTGGATGATATATAGTAATACTCCCTATTCCAAATCCAAGGATATTATATGATCGCTCGGCGGTGGAAGGAAGGGATAACCTTATAGGAGTTTTACCAGTGCTCTAGGTGGGGTCCCTGGACGGTCCCTGCATTTATCTATGGCAGCTGCACAACATACAGCGCCAGGTACTGTATCGTACTCGTGCACTGCTCTTATACGGACTCCAACAGCCCTTTTCTTCCACCAAATACCTGCTAAATTGGTGATTGACGTCAGGGTGAAGTTTGTCGTCACGAAGGTCGCCATATCGGTACTTGCATTGGAGGTCCAGCAAAAGCCCCGTCGTCACAGAAAGCGTCACCACATGGAATATCTTGAATACGCTTTGCGAAGGTGTGCTCATCTTTAACGATTGTTGGGGGAGGTAATCGCATGAGGAAAGGATCTACAATTACAACTCACGGTTGCCATGCATCCAAGTTTTTGGATCCAGATTCGGAAAGGGATTCATTTGGACACAGTACGAGTACAAGTACGAGGATGTAAGGGTAAGTGATCGGAACGCCCGTGATCTGTTTTCCGATCACTTCTTTCCTCACATCATAGTGAAAACCTGATTGGCTGCTCCCAGATAACCCGTGGCAACAATTGGTCAAATTGTCGGTTTTCCGATCACTTTCTTCCACACCCTCGTACTCTAGCAGCGACAGGGAAGTGGTGATATCAGATTGAAGATCGAATTCTCGCTGGGCCAATTTATCGCTAAGCTTACTAAAGCTACTTCATACTGGCAGTCTGCTTGAGTACTTGCACAGTGCTTTTAAGGTAAATGCCGCGCCCCGGTAACTTACACCTTTTGTATCACGCAATGCACGCCACATCACTCGAAAACTAAGTCGTGCACTATTTACCTCATACTTTACGAAGAGGAAATGATATCATTTTCCATTTGATGCCCCCAATTTTTGCCCCCCCGGGTCATCCCAATGACAAGGAAAAACATAAAAAGTCTATCAAAAGGAAACGCCCACACCGTCTAGTTCTGGGTAGGAAAAGAATACTGCGAACAAAATCCTAACACGCCATCTGTAGTTACAACGCGTGGAGGACGGTGAAAAGAAAACAGGCTAGGTAGAGAGGAGTGTGTGTACAAAGTGTAAGATTAAGAAAAGGAACCGGCGGGAAATGAAAATACTCAGTACCCACCAAAAAACTCATGCAAACGCCCAAAGCAATCCCTCCAGGTAACAAAGGCCAAAAAAATAACAAAATAAACAAAGGGAAAAGGAGGTGTAAGAAGGGTGTTTTTCCTACCGACCCCTAAGCTGGAATCCCCTCAACCTTCTCTCAGCTTCTGTGATGGGAGAGTGTACTTCGCTGCTAGAATCGCTATCTCCACCAGTATGGTCACTGCCGAGAACTCCTCCCGATCTCCGCCTATCGCTTCCGTCTCTACCGGAGTGCATGGTAGGCAGCGCGGAGGAGCTCGGGGGACTGTTCAGGGGACTGGCGGCGAGGCTGGCAGGTGCACTGCGGAGTCCCTCATCGTAGGTAGGGAGACTTGAAGTGGAGCTCAAGTTTCCTGTTCCTGAACGAACCGCAGTGCTATACGATGGGACCTTCGATAGCGCACCGAGATCCACCTCATCCTCATGTGCCTTATCCGGCGAGTGCGCTCTCGCCCTAGGCCCACCATAGCGCGCGGTGTGCCCACTTGATTCCACCGGCCTCGAAAAGTAGTCTTCGCCGCCACGTTGGCTCAACCGTGCTACTACTTCTTCTACCATAGCCCTAGGCGACGAGGCCGGAGATACCGGCGGGGCACTAGCGCCACCGGTACTCCTGTGTGGGGGTATCCCCGGGGGTGTAGGAGAGCTGGGCCTTCCTAAATCACCCGCCGAATTCGTGGCAAGGTTCTCGGAGGAGCTCTGCTGTGATAGGTTGGGCGAGTTAGAAAGGGAAGGAAGTGGAGTGTGCGTTGGAGTTTCGTAGTGGTCCTGGGGTATGCCCTGATATAATCGATCCAGGTAATGGTCGTCATAACGCGGAGGCGCTTGACTTTGATTCAGCGCGAGGTCCCCTGACAAGAGAGTCCCACGGACGATATTGTCTTCGCCCATCAATAGATCTGGAGATATGAACAATTGCACAGGAAGGGATGCCCGTAGCTGTGACTATATGTCAGCAACCGCACACAGATATTAGCATTCGGCCGAGCCTACCTCAGAGGTGTGCCCATCGGGATTGTGAAGTTGGATGGCGAATTTGAGCCTGAAGTTTAGGTTAGCAGAAGCAGCGGTGCCGCTCAAAGATCCGTCGTGGATACTCACTTGTGTTTAATTTTGATGCAGTCCACTTCACAATCCTGAACGCATCTAATTAAGCTCTTCGGCAGTTGAACCCTGTCCTGTAGCCTCCACCTTCCGAGATCTTCATCATCCTCCATCCCACTCTCACAATTCTCAAAAATCTGTTGCAAAACGTGCCTGACATCATCCTTAGTAGTGCCCTTCTCAGGGTCACTGAAGCTCTGCAATTCCTTAAAATTGCAAATAACTTTCCCCACAGTAAGTCCCTTGAGTAAGGGCACAAGTATAATATCGATAGGAATAGACGATCCAAAAGCAACAGCCTTTCTGGGAATACTAATCGAGTATTCCACCTTGTTGGGCCAGATATTCTCCACAGACTACAAGGGTATGTATGTTAGGAAAAAGAGCCCTGGGAGATGTGACCGGCAACGCGGCAAACCCACCATAGCCTGTGATAGCTCCAATGCACTAGGGCCCAAAGTCCGTACTACCCTTAAATGCTATCCGGGCCAAAAAGATCTAGTCAGCCTTATCCTCACATGCCGGTATTTCACAAATACAGTACCAATAAACTTGCACACTCAGCAAACGTTCAGCTAACGCACCTTTTTCGCAACGATATTCTGCGCAAACCGGGGCCTCTCGATCACAGCTTTTAGCCGATAGAATATCTGAGCATGGTCTAGGCCTTCGATTGATTCGGGAAGGTCTGGGTTCCATAGGCGCAAGTGTCAGCACACAAACTCGCGAATTAGAGGAAAAAATCCCGAGATGCCGCCGCTCGAGTAAAAGGAGTAGAAGGAAAAACAAACTGACTGCCAGGTAGGACAGTTTCAAAGCTGTACTCGTAATTATTCGGGCGCAGTGTGACTGGGTTCCTGTGAGAAAACTCCAAGAATTCCCACTTCTTCACGAACACTACGCTCTCACTTTTAACCGGCTTGACAGAAATGCCGGAAGCTGTGGAGTTTTCCTGCCAACTTTGTATAACAATGCGGAAGGGAATCCGGAGTATCAGCCTCCAAGTCTTTATTATTATTGTGCCTCGTAGACAGGGATTCTGCCTCGTTTCTGGCTCGGACTCTGTTTCAAGCGGGAGGGAAATACTCACTGCAGCCTTCTCACGCCCAACAACGACAAAGCGATTGACCGAATGGCGGCAGATTCTGTGATGCAGAAAGCAAGTGTTCCTTTCAGCGCTGCGCCAGCAGATTCCTCTGGAGTTCCCCTAAGCACAACCACATTGTTGTCCAGTCTGCACAACAAAAATAAGTACCATCCTCCATGAAAACGAGCAAGAGGCAGCAATTGCAAGGATCTCGCACCTAATATCACAATAAGGGATCGTATGGCTATGACTTCGGTTCAGAAGAGGCATATTGACAAACTTCCCTCCTCAATAATTTATCCCAATAAACAACGACGATCCTCCGGCAATTCCAAAGGTAGTATATAGCAACAATAGAGTAGTCGCAGCGGAAACAAACAAACTCTTTTCTCCCCTCTCTTCCTGTCTGGGCAAGAAGAGGAGGGAAGGCTAAGATATAAATATCCTATGAGGTACAGTAAACGGTCTGACGCACCGGAGCTCGGCCGCACACCTTGTCCACAGTGGATGCTCCAAGTGATTAGTAGGTTTGCCGCGGTGTTGAGGATAGCAGGCTGTATGCAGTATGGGACGAAATTTTATTGGACGGACGCACAAACAGCCCGACGGGATTGTATTGGAAATCGGATCCCGGAGTGCTGAAGGACGGGAGGTATACACACACAGACAGACACAAGCATACACTAACGCCCAAAAAAGCTTGTAGAAGAGGGTGCTGAAGGAAGGTGAAGGAGAGGAGGAGGGAGGAGGAGGAGAGGCAGGTAGGCACAGGAAGGTAATAATAATGGTGGTGGGTGAGGAAGCGAACCAGTCTAGAATAGAGAGGCCAGAAGGCCTTACGAGAACAATGGTATGTAGGATAGACCAAGTCTACACGTTTGGAGTTATGACAAGCCGAAATCCCTCCCAGAAGGACCCTTTGGGGTTACGGCGCCGCGTACCAGTACCGGTATGCTATCGTGTGCCATACCGGTAGTCTACTCGAGTATCATGGAGAAGGAGGATGTTCCAAACCTTTGTCATCCTTGCACGCCAATTTTTTTCCTACCGTCTTTTTTCTTTCTTTTCTTCTCACCCATTCACTCATTCCCCCCCAACCTAGCCTAGAGAGGTCAGTTTAAGAAGGGTTTTAGTTCTTACGCACGGTGGATAGAGTTAAATTAGCCTTGTGAGGGACGGCTATCACTCAGCGCTTACCATCTGAAATAAGACACCTTTGTATTTGCACAGTACAGGCGGTACAGCACTCATGGTTCCGGTCGCGATAAACCTGTAAGAGTACAGCACCGGTACTCGAGCACATGAGGCCCTTGTTCAGCTTGAATATTAGTCAAACTCTGGACATTTCTGCTTATTTTTTTTTTCCAACCTTCCGGGTAATTTTGGGCTTCTTAGGGATATTGGATACCGGCAAGGCATCTCGCACAAGCTCAGAAATTCACAAAGGAAAAAACTCATCCCTAATGGCAGGAACGCAGAAACAAACAATAATGCTCAAAAAGAAGGACAATTTAGCCAAATCAGGACTAGCGGAATGTCTCGCCCAGCTAAAAACCCATGTCTTGGCATATTCTTGCTTACTCATTGCAAGCGATTTATTAACAGGCTCCCACTCAGAATGCCCCAACTTCAAACCCAAAGATCGTGGTCCTCCAGTTCATGTTTTCGCAGAAATTGAAATGATAGACCGATGCAGCAGGTGTCCAGCCACATTTCCATCATGTCGAACTCAAAGAGACATTCTGGTTGGCAGTGATCATTCAACCTGAAACCAAACAATCACTTTTCCATACCACTGGCAGGCTTACCGGTATTGCGACCGGAACCACAGGATAATAGATAGCATATGCTTTCCTCGACTCCACCCCTTGCCACCCCTCAATGGCTTCCGAGCCACGATCGATCGAAGCCAAATGCCGTAGAGGACGATATCATACGATTGGAACTTCAGGAGAGGCCACGCCTAATATAGAGTACCGGTACTCATACAGTATGATACCGGTGCAGTAACTCACACATCTTACCAGTTTATCTTATCATGTCTGATTCTTCTGACACACGCGAACATGTGTTATCTTCCCTCACCCAAACCTTACTTTCCCTCACCACCGCACATGGATTGTTTGCTCCAAGGGACTAGCGATGAAAGTCTGTACCACCGATACCTTAAACACTACAACAGTACCAGGACGATGTTCTCCCTACAGTACGAGTACCGCTCTACAGATACAATACAGGTACTGTACCCCCACGTTCATCCCTCCAGTCAATAAGCTAGCGAGGCATTGTGCGAGAGGGAGAGAGGTTAGGGATGAGTTCGTCACCCCTGTCCATCCAATGGTGAAATTCATTCATTCTCGCACGCAAGCCACAACTGAAATCCACAATCTCCTAAACCCTGTGGCTTCAACGTCAAATACCGGTAGTGGTATGATACCGGTTTTAAGATCTATGATTCGATTGGTGAGTTGATCATGGTGCGGTGAACTCGCCCTGCTACTCGTAACCTTGCGCCAGACCCCAAAAGGCGATCCCGGACGTGACATTTCAAGAGCCCCCACGCGCTCCTGCCTACCATAGTCACCCGATACCGTAGACTATTAGTTTAAACGGACAAAGAGAGGCGAAGAGGGAGGGAGAGGGAGAAAAAGAAAGAAAGAAAAAAACCCCACCGCGAGATGCCGAGACTTGAATTACAATTAATTTTGATAGATATTGTAATGTATCATACTATACCCATCCTAAGAGCCTTCAAAGCCTTCGGAGGTGTCCCTCCCTCCTCCGGAGTGCTCTATTTTCAGGATTTCATACTTGAGTAGAGTGCCCCACAACCTCGTTTGGGCTCGCAGTACGGGTATCATATCATACCTGTAGGGGCTTTAGTTATCATCGCTAATTCGTGGTAATTAACACGCAGACTTCGGCTTACCTCCCCGGACTCACATTGGGGTGCCTACACTATCACTGGATGTCCACGTCGACTGGTTTTGTGCAATGCTGATGCTGCGGGCGGCGTATGGTTGCGGTGGTGGGAGGGGAGGGAGGAGGGATACACAATTGTGTATCATCTATCGTGCTGCACTCGTACATGCTGGTGCGGCCCCCTCTGCCGCCACCACGTTACGGTGCGGATGTAACACTATCGACGAGTACTCGAGTATATGTGGTGTGGGACGGGATCGGGTGGGAGTCCTAATTGGGGTTTTGGAGATGGGGGTGATTTGTTATAGTTACTATAAGTATAGCGTATGGTTGGCTGGTTACAAGTAAAGTAGGTTTAAGTATTGTAGGCTACAGCCTCCAAACACACAAACATATACTGTACATAAACCTGAGCGGGTATGATACCACGATAATATCATTATAGAAGATAATACTTGCACCAGTAGTTGACACTACCAAACGGAAAAAAGGACAAGTACCGGTAACGAGTAACAGGGCAGAAACGTGCTATTCCGATGAACAAGATGAAAAAAAAAAGGGCCTGAGATCAGTAACTTGGGATGAACCTAAAAGACCGAAATAATAATGATAAAAACCAAGCTAAACAGCAGAGGTGAAAAAAAACAAAAAACAAGACGGACGAGCCGAGTACGGTATCGCGATCGATGAATGTGATTGGTGATTGATGACACCAGGTAGGCTACCGTGTCAACCCTATCAATCAATCGACTGCAACACAATACACTACCATCAACACCACACCGTATTAACTCCCCGCCGCCGAAAGCGTCACCTCGCTACCATTCCGAGTCTGCCCTACATGTGGTCGATTCCACGTCTTCAAGTGCCCTATCGTTCCGTCGGAAAATTTCCTCCTCCTCGCGCGGCGAGGTTAAGGAAGAAGAAAAAGTCAACCTCGCAAATCACTCAAGGAATAGAAATCAAGAAACGGGAACTGGCTGCGCTAGGGTGGAAATGAAGCCAAAACCAAGGAGCTAGCAATGGAGCTACTGTAGAAATGGCAAGGCCGTAGGGGTGAGATGCTTTCTTCCCACGACACCGTGCCATGCCTGACAAAACGGGCCAAGGCAGGAACAGGGGCACGAAACCCTTGGAAACTATTGCGAGATTCGAAAGAGAAAAAAACAGGAACCAGGAACCAGGAACCAAAAAGTTGTTGGGGGGGAGAGCACGTACCATCCACGCATGTTGTAACGATTGAGTCTTCCCGGAAAACTAGCTGGGTAAGATGCTCCGCGTCAATGACTTTCGACTATCCTCCTCGTCATATGCAACCTTATCGTTAGTTCAGTTCTCAAGGTACAGATTGAGAAAAAAAAAAGGAAAAAAGGACCAGTGGCAAGACCCTTTCGGACAAGGAGAAAGGGAGTTGTAATTTTTCCAGCCGAGCGTTTGATCTCGGAAAAACTGTTTCGGTTTGATAACGATAAGGTGGAGGTTCGACTTACCATGATCGGTGGTAAAACTGCGGTGCGTGCACGTTCCTCTACGGGATGAACAGCGATTTCTTGGTCTGAACTCTCGTCATGGATGGAAGCGATGTTAGAATTTGACCGCAACCTCCCCGAGAGGCTCTCTGCGCGAATTCTTCCGCTTTGAGACTGGTAATTATGAGATGACATGCTCCCACGGTTCTGTGTGGCCGCCTGGGTCCATCCGGGAGCCGAGTTAGCTATAGGTTCTACTTAGAAAAAAGCGACAGCCCTAGTTATCGGTTGCAGCTTCGCAAATCGGCAACCTTCCTTGTGGCGGGTGGCATAGTGGATAGGAAGAAGAAAAAACACCAGGAAAAAAATAAGGGAGATAAGGAAGGGGATTCTCGGCCCGTACCGCTTTTGGTTTGTGAAGCATTCCAACACTAAAATCCCATAACAGCAACCTACAGTCGTTTCCAACACTCCCAAAACGATAGGTACGATCATCGCAACGCCAAGGATCGAAGGCAACACTAGATACCCATGAATGGTGTCCTTCACAGCGAGCTACGATGCGCCGATCATGAAACGACCATATGGATACTAGGTCATCCTGACCACCTGTGACAACATATCTTCCATCCGGAGACCAACAAACACACATTAACCCGCCATAGTAGCTACTGTAAACATCTAAAAGTCTAACAAATACGTAAGTACTTTACGCAGTTCCAGAACCGTAGATAACTATATCGCTCACGGAATACGGCCACTCACTTTTCCTTAACAATATTAATGACCCGCAAACATTGATCTTCAGCTACCACAGCAACATATTGGCAGTCCGGAGAGAAGGCAAAGGCCGTGATGGCACTTCTAGAGATCGACCAATACGAAACAGGATTGGTTCTCTGGTTTTTTGACTCCACCGACTTGTTCACCGAAAAGTACCTCAAGAGACTTGCCGTACTATCGGATCCCGTAGCAGCTTTCTCAGGCATTCCAGTAGCATCCGGTGCATCCTCAGGCATAAATGGCGCATCCTCCTTCTCTTTGTCATATACTATCAAAGATCCGTCTTGGTGGGCGGCTAGAAATAAATTCTCAGTTCCCGGTATCCATTTGATATCCGCAACTGCGTGTGGGTTTATCACGCCCTGGAATTGGCAGAGGGCTGTATTAGCATTAATACCACTAGAAAAGGAGAATCGCAAAGAATTTGCGATATATAGATAGCGATGCGGGACAATCTAGGGTATAGGTTCTTACATTCTTGTTTAGCCTTGCATATTTGTTTGAGATTGGATCGAACCACACAATGTCCCCACTCGAGAAACCAATAATCACATCTAAGTGAGTAGAGCTCTTAGTGAGAAGGTTGACATCATGGCAAAGTGGGTGTGCTTTCGTGAATAAAATTTTCGAGAGAGGTTCATGCTACAAAGATATAAAAACGTTAAGTCCTTTATTCTCGCACATAAATCGTTGGCAGCGGTAAGTTTGAACCTTAATTGAGGAACCCATATCCAACCAATTGAATGCTCGGTTTATGTTTGCAAAAATAAACAAATCTTCCGAGTTCCTCTCTGCAAGCCGTTTCGCTAGGTTTTCATGGGGAATAATTCTCGAGACGAAGGTAGAATTGTTTTTAGCAATATTGTTCTTCGGCTTTTTTCTCTTGGCCGCGTCCTTGCTAGATGCGGACAAAGACGCATTTCCCCCTCCAAACTTCTCTGTAGTAGCAGTTGCCCCATCCCCGTTACGAGATGTATTGCTTCCTGAGCCCGTTTTCACAAGAGAGCTGTGCGAGTCTGTGTCTGCAGAGGTTCTTGGGCCAAACCCAGACTGACTTTCCCCACTCTGTGACATTCCGGGACTACGGTAGACAGGTGAGGGCGCATCTTTTGATTTGATGGCAACTAGAGAGAGTTTAGTTCCGGCAACTGTAGGCTGCGGTGCTGTGCTGAGGGGATTGAGGTTGGTTATTGGAGACTCAGACGGATGTGGCGGAGGCGTGGCTAGAAAAATATCCTCCTTCAAGATGTAGGTGCCTGCGCCAATCCGGAGGTCAAATGGTCAGCAGGGGCAAATTGGAAGTCTGGCCTATTTGCTCCGCACACAACACAAATACCGCATCGGATGAACCAATACCGGCATAGGAGATCTACCAAGACCGCACAACGCCGGCCGAACACGCCTAAAACATACCTTCACCGACCGAAAATTGGTATTCGGGCCCTTCAGGGTACGCGATGATATTGTTCGTCTCAACAACGGGGGGTGGAGTGCCTGGCATCCCGCCACCCCAAAGTCCTACTCCGGGGGTACCTGGATGCCTGGGAGGCGGCGGCGGGAGCACGAACATTGCCTAATTCCACGGAACAATGTGGCTTAAATGAAGCAACGAGCGGTGCTGCAGGTAGGATGAAATGGGAATACGGGAACTGTTTGAATGGGGCTTCTAGGGAGCAGAAACTTGTGCGGGGGAGATCGTACACGGTAGGTTAGGTAGAACCGGGAAGATGGAGATGGTGGTTGTACGATATGAGATGGATTGAGAAGGGAGGGATGGGATGGGTGTAGATAGTGGAGAAATGTGTGGTGTGTACCCACGTCAGAACTATGCGGCTCTTTCCACCAAGACCAGTTGATTTGTACCTGACAGCGTGCATTTCAACAGAAAAGTATGATTCTCTAAGCAAACCTTTAATTTGCAGGGGGAAGAAATAACATGCTGAGGCTCTTGTGAAAGTGTCCCCGCTCGAAGAAATCCAAGCATTTTCCCACGGGAAGCTTGCAGTGGGCGGCTAATCTAAGGCACAAGTTGGAGTACCGGTATGGTGCTAGGCCCTGGATCGACCGTGCCATCCATGAGGAGCCAAGCGATCCCAGTCAAAGCCTTTCTACGAATCACAACTCCCCACCTATTGTCACCTGCTTCCATCTCTACTCGAGTATCATACATTCAACTCATCTACCACCTAAGTTTACATACTCTAGCACCACGGCCCCGAAACCTTTACAAAAAGGTATTGGCTGCTCCAATTACCGCACTCATTACCCCCATCCCACTCGCTCTGGTTGGAATGGCTGATACCGTTCGAATAGTTGTGTGCGGAGACGAAGGTAGGTCCCCTATCAACCCGTCCGCACAAATAGCTTCTGACCATCACCATCAAAAATTCCATTAGGCACTGGGAAGTCATCTCTAATTACTTCCCTGGTCAAAGATGTTTTCATCCCGAGCAAGATTCAACCAATACTCCCCGCAATTACACTAGGCGCCCCCGAAAACGTTACCACAACCATCGTTGATACCTCTGGTATGTACTTCCTGGCATCATGAGTTGGAAGTTTGACGGCAGTTAATAACCGGTTCCTGTGCAGCTCTCCCGCAGGAACGAAATACTCTTGGTAAAGAAATTCGGCGATCCAATGTCATATGTTTGGTCTACTCAGATCATTATGTTAGCTGCCCGGTTTACACACTCTTATTTTTGAACGCTCAGCTGATTGTCCCCCGAGAGCTATGAAAGGGTTTCCCTATTTTGGTATTGCTACCGTCTTGCCCCGTGTGAGACTCCAGGTTCTGACCGCGGAAACCTCACAGGCTTCCGTTCTTTCGGAGCTTGGGAGTAAATGTTCGTCCATCACCTCCGAACAGAATTAAGATACTCTGGGCTAATAGGAATAGCTTCCTGTTGTTCTATGCGCAAACAAAACAGATTTGTCGCCCGATGTTGACCCCGAAGAAGAAATGATGCCTATAGTGTTGGAATTCAAGGTCACTCCTCTCAATCTTACCAGCCCCCAACGAAGTATTGACCTCATTGGCTCTCAGGAAATCGACTCGTGCATACGGGTTAGTGCAAAAGAGCAAAAAAACATTAACGAGCTTTTTTATTTGTGCCAAAAAGCTGTGACACATCCGATAGCACCCTTGTATGATTCTAAAGAACAGGCATGCCACTCCGAAAACACAGGAGGCTTAGCGGGGGGCTTACGAGCGTTCGTTGTAGAATCTTAAACCTGCCGCGGTGGCGGCTCTTCAACGAATCTTCTGTTTGTGCCTCATCTACACTCAACAGGCACCTGATGCTAATCACATTCTCAGTCCTATGTGACAAGGATCAAGACGGCTTTCTAAACGACCTTGAGCTTCAAGAATTCCAGGTACCATCTCCAGCTAATCCTAACCCCTCCACGAGTTCTCTGGGCATGCTTTCTCACGCCTCTTTCTAGAAAAAATGTTTTGACAAATCTCTAACCTCAGAGGAGCTTGAAGACATAAAGGCTTCAATAAAAAAACGGCTGCCAAATTCTCGGACCGAGGAGGGAGTTGATGAGCAAGGTTTCATTCTACTGAGCAAGATGTTCGCAGAAAAAGCTAGACATGAAACTATCTGGACGATATTACGCGTTTTTCATTATACGGATAGCCTGAGTCTGAAAGACAGTTTCTTACACCCAAAGTATGTTTTCTTCTATATACTCCCAATGCCTGTTACCTCCGCGATAACTAGAACCTTTATATCAGATTCGAAGTCCCACCTAATGCATCAGCAGAACTTTCTCCCCTTGGGTATAGGTTTTTCGTAGACCTTTTCCTCCTTTTTGATAAAGATAATGACGGGGGACTCAACGGAGATGAATTGGCAGCGCTTTTTGCCCCCACTCCCGGTCTTCCTGCATCATGGGTTGATCCCTCGTTTCCATCCTCTACGGTCAGATCTGAAGCCGGACATATCACTCTTCAAGGGTGGCTAGCCCAATGGAGCATGACAACTTTTCAGGATCCTAAAATGACTCTAGCTTATCTGGCGTACCTGGGATTTGAAAGCGGTGAGAGGGGTGGTACAACTGCCGCGCTCAAAGTCACTAAACCGAGGAAGAGGCGGAGGAGACAAGGGAGAGTGGAACGCAATGTTGTTCTTTGCTACGTACTAGGTTCACGTGGGAGCGGGAAGGTGCGACCCCTTCCTTCATTAGGCTAACAGCGAAGCTCAACTAATTGGAAAATAGAGCTCAATATTAGATGCATTTCTCAATAGGCCTTTTGATTCGACATATCACCCCACAATCAAGCCGAGAACCGCCGTCAACAGTGTAGAACTACAAGGGGGTAAGCAATGCTATCTGATAGTACGACCCCAGCATCAAGACAAATCACAATTTTACATGACTGACACCGGGATTTTAGATTGAAGAACTAGGCGAACTAGAACCCGCAATTCTGGAAAATGGAGCGAAATTGAATTCTTGTGATGTCGTGTGCTACACCTACGACTCGTCTGATCCAGACAGCTTTGCACATATAGTTGATCTACGAGTATGGATAGTCTATCTATAGCCGGTGACACACGCTAATTCATATGCTAGGCTCGGTATCCGCAACTCGACGAGCTTCCGGCGGTATATGCAGCCCTAAAGGCGGACCTGGATAAGACAACCCAAAGAGCCGAAATCCAGCCGGATGTTTATACACGTGAGATTGGCATGTCAGCGCCTTTACATGTGAGCGCCTCTTGGACATCCATATCCGAGCTTTTTGTCATGGTAAGCCTTGCGCAGTGCACTTCAGTTGACAGGGTACTTATACGCATAAATAAAACATGTAGGTCTCCGAGGCTGCATTATTCCCCAATAATGCTTACCCTCGAACTGAACCTGAATCAGCAGACAGAACCAATTTCTATATTGTTGCCGGAGTGACAGGTAAAAACAATTTCTATTCTAATATTGCCAGCAGAAACGAACTAATGTGCTATTGATGCCAGTGTGTACTGTAATGGCATTGTTGTATGTTTGGAAAAGGACCAATCCAGGATAGACCCTAACTGGATACGGTTGACAAGAAGACGAGAGATTCAATTGCCTTATATACATAGAGCCTAGGATAGGTATCATGAATTTTTCACAAACTTGCAAGGGCAACGCATACCGTAGATTGTCACATGACCACTCTTCCTTCATTGCGGCGACCGCACAAAATGTCACCCCTTCAGAGTTCTGTCATGCTGCATCACTCGTCTACCTACCATCGCCCTTTCGCCAGAGAGGTGAGCCGGCGAGCACCTTTGCCAACTCGGAAGGATTGCAGGAGGCTACCCTAAGGGTCAGGATAGAACGCCGGCACCCTATATTGAACACACTACTCGAAAGAGGCCAAAATGTGTTGCTTTACAGGAGGTGTTTCTGGTGCTATCATAGGGCGACACCCGTTTGGTTATTAAGCACTTTTTAACTCCACCACCTCACCCTATACAAGTCCCATAGCCACTATCATTACGCTACTATAGCATAAGATAGGGATTGGTAACCCCGCGGCGTAGGCGACATCGTGTTATGCCTGCAAAGTGGGGTAAACATTCCGTTCAAGATAATTGGGGAACTGTACCATGGAATACTGGAAACCTGAGTGATGGATGATGATAAGGTATTCTCGAGGCGGACTTGTAATTCTAGATTCCTCGCTGTTGGGCCAATTTATGCCTACTAACTACTTGGCCCACCTATCTTCCCTGAGCAATTGCGCGTTCCATCCCGCCTGGCCACTGCGCGCTTGTAATACTCCTTTGTCCCAAGGCACTATCTCTTCCCAGAAGGTTAGGTTGGGACCATCTACTCGTCTCTTCACTTCTCACTCCCTTTCTACCCATTTCCTATCCCTGCATGCTCCCGCTGTTGCCACACCCCTCTAGCTTCCTCCACTTTTGGTTCCTACTGCGCGGCCTAAACCCCTGGCCGTCAAGCTTTCCTTTCCTCCGTTTCTGAAGAAAAAATAAAAAGGAGAAGAGGGAGGGGGAGCGAATGGAGCACAACATGCAAAGGGGAAATGTGTTTGACTAGATCCGAGAGCCAGTTCAGACATGTTGCTAGTACTGCGACACTTTCCATCGCCCGGTGAGAATATCCATCGATTCTAATCTACCAATCCACCAGTAAAAAAAGTGCGGAGAAATACACCCTGCGGAAGGAGCGCTCCGTTACTCAAATACCCCTAACTGACTCCGCAGCGAGCGCGTACTACACTAACCCTACCAATCTCATTTCCCAAATCGCCACGCACCAAACAGAAGATTCCACCAGCTGTCCGAGTGTACTACTTTATTGGCTAGGTCCACAGACCTCACAGCCCAAACCCCCATTACTGTTGCGATCATCGGAAGCTGACGGGCACTTTCCTATTGATCCATAGGAATTGGGCTGAAAAGCGATTTCTATTTGGGGGCGGGTAGTATGGCAGAAGTGATATCATAGTTGGGTTCCATGTTATTGAATCCTGGAGAACAAACCTGTTGCTGGATAGACTTCATAACCCATGAAATACCCTTGCCCACATTGACACAGCCTCTGTGTACGCGATTTCTTGATGAAATCTCCCCTGTCCAGAATATAAGTTACATCGCCCTAAGAACTGTCCCCAGAATTTACCCCGCCAGGTAATCTATAGTACAGCACATCACCCCCCACCAGCACACCAAGAGTGGTTCAATATGTGTGATACACGAGGAATGTGAGACTGGGGTCATGAGTGAATATAAGAGATTGAGCTTAATGAATTCTGGACTTGGCAATTGACGTCAAGATACTGGGGAAATTGGAGAGTAATGATACATTGCACGCTTCGATTCAGAAAGCCAGATGACCAGCCTTCACAAGAGCTTTCACAAGAAAAGCGGGAGCGCAGTAGGAATAATGACCTCGCAGAAAATATATGATACAAAGAATCATTTCTCTATTTCCCTAGGTACTACTCAGCTAGTCACCCATTACCAAATGGCCGCGAATCCATGTGATAACACCAACCCAGGTGCCAATTTGGGTTGGATTGTGGAGTTAGAAATTCTGACAGAAGAGTATGCCATGAAGACTCGCCATCTGAATTCTGGATGTAGTGTAAGGGGAGGAGGGAATTGAACTCAGAACAGGCTAGCCACAGACTTGTCAAGGAGTTGTTGCACTCTGCCGGTGGCGCTGAGGTTTCCCCCAGCCACTATTTATTAGGCAATTCTTAGCAGTATTAAAAAAATTTCTTCATCGCTTTCAGGTACGATACAATACCATGATAAAGTGATCATCACTTGTCCCCTTCACATTAAAAGTAGCCATTTGCGCGACAATGCAATAACACCATGCCAGATTCAATTACTAATTATATATTGGTTTCAGGTAACAGGTCCTGATATGGACCCCACAACACCTCAATCCCAGCTGGATTGGAAAAATCGGGAATGGATTGCCTCCAGAGAGGGTAGTAACAAAAGAGCTAAATCTTGGAAATTCCTGATAGCATATGGTAGGGAAAAAGCATAGTTACGGTTTCAATAGCTCCACCAGCAACACCCACCTCCACCGTTTAAGTCAAATAACAAGCTCCTCGCGTTCTAAGATTTGTGAGCCTGCAGCTTGGCCAATCTACTGTATCGCAACAGAGATTGGAGTTGCTATTAACACCGTACTAGAGTGGATGTGAGGGGAACAAAGTCCTCGGGGGGAAGAAACATCAAAATTCACAGCAACCGCCCTTACCTGTTAACTGGGTCATTGGAGCCCATCGATCATAATGTGCCTTTTTTTCCTGGACAGCTTAACGGTGAAGGGGCTAAGTTTCGAGATTTGTTTTCTCTATTTGGGGTATGATAATTATCATACTGGAAACGATTTTCCTTTTGGTCAAGGACCGGTGTTACGGAAGAAATGATCAGTACGTGGGTTTTAAGGAACAAAGGCTGAATTTCTCCTTCACGCTTAACTAAAATCATACAATTTAACTTAGGGCCCCACTGCAGCCTATAATGGCCAGAACGGGGTGTTCAATTGTTTTGATAATATCATATTAGCCCAAGGTGAATAAGCCCTTGATCAAGCTCTTCCGAGAGGACAAGGCAAATCTCGGACATGGACTCCGCCATCCTACGCGGCCCGCATACTGATACTCAGCGTTCTAGGAGTTCAATATAATTTATTTATCCTTGTATCACCGACCCGGTCTCAGCAGAGAGGAGTGAATTGATATGGAGCAGAAAATAAAACATCAATGAGAATTTCCAGTCAAACCAGCGTACAACTTTCTGAAGCAGCAGAGATACTATGTGATACGCTGCTCGAAGCAACAGACACCTTATATTGGGTTTAGCGGGAAAGATAAGTCTACACTTCACCGATTATGCACTTGACACGTCGCCCACAATCCCCAACAAACCCCACCTAGGTATCGTCCTCTAAATCAATGCCTTACCTATAATACGAAGGAGTCGGACATAACAGCCGAGACGGCCACCCAAATATACACACCCCCTAAGCTCCGACCAACCCCTGGCACAACACATATCAGGCTCCACAAGTGTTCATCAAACCTTCGGCTATTGCCAAGTATCCAATGAACCCCAATGAGTCAAGAGAGAAAAGGAAACACAAAAAATTGGCGGGATCCAAGAGAGCCCTGGGCACCAGGGAAACCCCCGGGATCTCCAGTACCTCATAGCTTCCGGAGCAAGAGAGGAACCGCTCAAGCCACTGGCGGAACGACGCCCCCTCCCTGGGCCTTTGAATACCAAATTCCGAACTTGATCCCGACTTTCAAAAACACACTAGGTTAGATTTGTGTCGGGTCAGGTTTCAGGTATGGCAAAAGTTGAAGTCGCCAAACCAGTGGCTCGACTAGACATTAAGGGTCGGCGATGGTCAGAGAATAGGGAGGATGGGGAACTACGTATAGAATTTTTGTGCTGGGCTCTTTGGTGTGCGTGCGGGATGAGGGCGTCCTCCCAGGAATACGCTCTTATGGGTACAATCGAACGCGGAATGGAGAACGCAATGTCAAGAAGGCACCCACTCTCCCATGGTAACCATTGCGTATAGTGACGCGAGTACGGCGACATGCGAGGCCCGCACAGTATCATACTTGAAAACCCCATGACTTCTCAGCAGGAAGTCGTACCTCTACAGGAGTGCCGCCCTCTTTACATTAACCCCAAGAGAGTGGAAATGTGACACTAGATAGCTCTCCTGTCACAGCAGAGTAAAACGATACCGTTCGATGTCATTTGATGGGCCATTGTGCGAAAAATGGCGTGGAAGTCCCTCACTAGTGAACCAGGGACATATGGATACCAGAAAAAGATGTTCCAGAGTTTGACTACCGGTAATGGTTCAATTATTCAGGCCGGAACCACAAATTAATCCAGCCAAATATCTGCACGCTTCTACTTATATTCTCCTTCCAGGCCTAAATCTCTATAGGGACGATAGATCAGTATTTCATCTTAGGCTATGCGAACACCCTTTTGCTACAATCCCCACGTCGAACGGTTTCAGCCCTGATGGGAAAACATATCGAGATCTCTCACAGGTATCACAGTACAGCACACCACAAGAGTTTTCAAAACTTGGAGTATCATATCATAAATTTAAGCCTATACCCCCACTAATTAAGGTTAAAACCCTCCACCCGGTTGGCGAGATCGCTGCTCGGGTATCGATTCAAAATTAGAACGAGATCGCCCGGATTCCCCGGAACACTACCCCCAAAGGAAGGGCACCTCGAAAAAGTAACACCAATGGAGAGGGCCTACAGGAGTGGGGCAGTTAGTTTGCAGGATGATAAAATGGTGAATGGATGACTTGGTGGCAAGCAGCCACCCTCACAAACCAGTTTCATGTGTTTGTGCCAGAGAATCACTATTCGCAAGCCTGTTGGGACCAAGCACGCAAGGTGGCAATTTACAGACAAAGTGCTCAGCTTCAATCCAGCTGGGCGAATAGTATTCAGAGATTACAGTTGCCATCGCAAATGAGAGGAGGAAAAGGACTCTCTCTTTCCGTTAC